CTTTTCTTTTCAATAATTAAAAGATTTTATAATAAAAATTGACATAAAACCCTTATTAGCTAAGTTTCGAATTACCTTTCCATTTACTGAATTACTTTAACAATGTATAGAACGAAGGGTATATTTTAGAAATTTTTTATCGCAACCCTTGCGAATTCATCCCTGTGGCTGCGAATCCATTTAAAGTTAGATGATCATTATTTCATATGAAAATTAATATGCAACGATCATTTTAAGATCAACCAATCAGATTTAAGCCCGCTATGCTCTAATTTGTAAAGATGATTCATAATGTAACTCTGAGACAATATTCTCTTTAGAAATAAGCATAATAATATTTTTTTCATTTTGATATTATGTAGAAATATGAAATTTTAATATGTAATTAGAAATTTATATGGTTATTATCTTCAATTAGCATTAATTGTAAATTATTAATTTATCTGATTATTATACAGATTGTGGTTAATTCTAGCTAAACTTAGTTCATGCTGTAAACTATTTACTTGCTGGTTAGCTTTAAATAATTCGCTTCTGATCACAAATTAATTAATTAATTTTTAATATATCTAAAATTAATTTTAAATTTGAAAAAAAACTATTAAATAGATATTTTTAATCTTAATACTTTTTTTTTATTTTTTTTATAATATATAATTAATTTATAACTAAATATGCTTTTATTTTTGTATAATAGCTTCTGAATATATCTATTTTATTCTATTACAAAAATTTCTAATGAAAATAATCATTTTTATTATATATATATATATATAAAAACAAAAATAATATTATTTTATTTAAAACATATTTATTCTAATTATATATATTAAAAAAATGATTTTTTTTATTTATAGAATCAATTATATAAAAAATTAGAATTTTATTAAATTGAAAATTTTTACTTGTACTGATTTTTCTATAAATGAATAGTAAAATTTTAATATACTATATTATATATTTATATAATGTTATAATAAAGTAGATTTAATACCTAGTATTTTTGATTAGGTTTATTTTATTTTCAGTAACATTATAAATTTTCTAAAGTGAGTTGATAAATAAAATTCTCTTACTAGGTAGGCTGTTTAACATTAGAAGTTTTCTGATCTCTTTCTTTTTGGTAAAAATTTTTTTTTTGAACTAACGCTAAGGATTTTTTTTTATCATTTATTCTTTTAATTCAAAAAGAAAAGATAAGGATATGACTATTCATCTCTAGGAACAGGCAACCCACAAGGTTGCAACATTTTCTTAAATGAGAAATAGATTAATTACGATAATTTATATCTTTCATATGACAAAGCAAAATATGTATGTTTATAACACTTACTTCCACAAATTCAAATTTTACTCTAGCAATACTTTCGTTTTGCGCTACAGCAAAATAAGAGATTAAAGAATGATGTCCAATATATGAAGCATAGCTATCTCGATGTTGATTTACCATCCATTCGCTACAAACGACAAAATTGCCTGGATATTATTAAGCAGTATAATTCAGAAAAGTAAAAGTACAATTGCTTACAATTTATTTGTATCTGCATGTCCGGTTCCAACATATTTAGATTGCACTTTTAAATTCGTTAATAAACCAATTAATACACCATCAATCTAAACAAATAAAAAATAACTAAAATGGATAAAAACTTACAGTGCTCGAGTTGACTATTAAGATTGAACCGGTCCTATTAAATATTAATATTCGAGTTTATTACACGATTTATCAATTAATAATTTTTTTATAGTTAACGTACCATTTTTTCTAAATAAAAAGTGGAAGGAATTTTTTTGACACTTATCACGTGTAATAGCGTATATGTATAGTAAATGACGTAAGATATGCAAATTACGACATGGTTATTAATTCTATGAAATTTCAAAGGGTCAAATACTTTTCTGATCCTTACAATGGCTGACCAAGTTGACCGGGCTGATTTAATTAAGCAGTTCTCTGGTATTGTTTCTTGCAATGAACAACAAGCACAATTCTTCTTGGAAGCCAATGCCTGGGATCTAAATGTACTTAATTTTTACTAAATTTATACACTTAATATTGTTTCAACTTCTGAGAGTCGCGTTTGTTTCATTTTTATAGTCTGCATTAAGCAATTATATTGAAGAACCGAATGCTTCCTCGGGTTCCATGGATACTGAAGAGTCACTTCTGGAAACTCAGTCGAGTACTTCTGTAGACTCTAAAAATAAAAGGTATTCTAGAATATTTTTTTCGTTATCAATTCTACAAGATATTATCCAATTTTGTCTTATAAATAAATATCTAAAGTTCTGCACCAAGTTCTCGGTTTGCTACTTTACGCGATCTTGGAAAAGAACAGAATGAAGAAGAGGAAGAGGAGGAAGAGGAACGCGAAAATTTGTTTGCCGGAGGCGAAAAATCGTGAGTAATTTTGTCATTTGATTTCTCAACATTGCATTTTGTTTTTTTAATTTTGATTGTGACAAATTCATTGGAATGTAGTGGTGTCTTTATGCAAAATCCTAATGCTAAACCAACAAAGCCATCGAATTCATTGGTTTCTGACATCTTAAAGAAAGCAGCAGAGTAAGTAACACATTTAATTATCATATCAAATAATCTATAGAGATTGATCGGCTTTTATTGGTATGGTAGAGGTGGTCGTGGACCTGTTGAAGAACCAGAAGCTACTACTTCAGCACAACGTTCTTTCTTTACCGGAGCTGGTTTGTAATCAATTCAAATACTTATTAATTATCATTTAATATAAATTTTGTTTATAATTTTCAAATTTCAAATTAGGTTATAGGCTTGGAAACGAAGAAGAGCCTTCAGTTGTAATCAATCCAACAGCTAATTCAACTACTTCAACAGAACCACTTACTCCGGTGAGTCTAATTATTCAAAAAAAAAATTGATTATTCATTATACAAAAGATCATAAACTTATTAATATTTCATAAATTGTAGGTTGTTCGTCATTTAACGTTCTGGAGAAATGGTTTCAGTATTGAGGAAGGTTCATTAATGTCTTATGATGACCCAGCAAACGAAGAATTCTTAAAAGCTATTAATAGTGGGTATGTGATGATAAATTTTTAACTTACGAAATGTAATAGAAATGCTCTTATGAGTTTAGTGGTTCACATAAAATATGTGCAGACGCGCTCCTTTGTCTTGGTTAAATGTAAGGCAAGATCAACCCGTGGATGTACGTGTAGCTCGTAGGCTAGACGAGGATTATAAGCCTCCACCAAAGAAGCCTGCCAAGCCGTTCTCAGGTACTGGACAAAGGCTTGGAAGGTTTGTTAATTATTTTTACCAAAATTATTTTTTTTAAAAAAAAAACGGTATTAACCTTTATATAACTTTACAGCCTTACACCGAATGTAATTACTATCAATACACCAGGTACTTTCCCTTCAACTTCGTCAAGTGAACCTACACCAAGAGCAAGAGAATTAGAGATAGATGAATCGTTACCAATAACGTCGATTCAAATCCGATTGGGTGATGGAACGAGGTATCAAGATCTTTTTCATCTTTGTTAATGTATTATTTCATCTATAAACTTTTTTTTTCGCCTTTTTTTAGAATGCGTACTAGGTTTAATCATACACACACTGTTGGTGACATTCGAAATTTTATTAACGCGTACGTGATTCTTTTACATTATATGTTTTTGTATCTTTTCATTTCACTATAATAAAATTTTATTTCATAATTTTATTTAGCTCACGAGTTGGAGAAGAACATCGTGACTATATTCTACAAACTACATTCCCGCCAAAGGATCTTAAGAATGAACAAACTTTGATTGATGCATCTCTTCTTAATTCAGTGGTTATTCAAAGATATATTTAGGTTAGTTATCATTATAGGAGTAGATTATAGGAGTAGATAAAAGCGTTAATATTTGTTATAAGAAAAGTGTGTAACAAATATATTGAGATTTAGCATCTAAATGAAATTATTTATTATTATTGCATTTTCTTACAAAAAAATATTATGGATTTATTGTTGCATGACGTCATGAAATTTTATATTATTTCCAAGACAATGTTTCTTTTTCCACACAAATGTGTTTAATTCACAGTTTGACATAAAAGTATGTTAAAATAAAGATTTGTTAGTTCAAAATTCAAAGTAACAGATAGACAGCTAAGCTAATATATGCTAAAAAGGCTAGTTTCAATAAATCTAAACAACAGAATTTTAATTATACTAATTAGAAAAAAAATTAGCATCTTATATTTTCAAAATATCTGACACAAGTTATTCAAAGTATTATTTATATAAGAAAAATTTTCCTATGAAATTTATCAAAAGGGTTTTTAAAATTCTAGAAAGTTCTAACCAAAATCAAAAATTAGAAAAAAAATTTAATTGAATCTTATAAAATAATTATTATAAATAAAATAAATAATAATGAATATTATTTCAAAATATATAAAATCAAACAAACCTTTATTTAATCTTATAAATAATTTGTATAAAAAAGTTATATAGAAATTATACATTAAAAAACTTATTATATATATAAAATAACAGTTTAAATATTTTTATATATTAATCATTTTATTATTATATTTTTTAATACTCAGTTTTATACATTTAAAATTATTTTTTTTCTAAAAATTTCAAATAAATTTAAAATCTGAAATTCTTATTCATCAAAAATTTTTATAATTCAAATAAAAGTATTTTTATTGATATTTGTAGTATTTTTGATAGGTTTTTTTTTATAAAAATATAATTTGGTGATTAGATTTCTGATTTTAGTTAAAAAATTATATAATTTTAATACTTGTTTTTCTTTATTTTATCCTTAATATAAATCTGTATTTTCTCAGTTACAGATGTTATTCTAAAAATTATATATATATAACTTTTAATATAATATTTATTACAGTCAAATCTTGATATAGTGAACTTTTGATATAATGAATTTTTAATATTTAACCAATCAAATATGTTAAATTTATCTCATTATAATAAACTAATCAATTAAATTCGTTAAAAATTTATTATAATCTTATAATAAAATTAATATTCTGATCCTAAAATTTGTTATATCAAGATTCAACTGTATATAATTTTTATTTTAAAGTTTTCATTTTTCTACTTTATTTTTTAAAAAGATTTTAATTTTATGTATTATTTTTTTTATATATTTAATTTTAGCTAATTTCTTTTCTGTTTGTTTTATGCTTTTAAAATTAATTTTATATGATTATTTTTAATATTAAGTTATTATTTACTAAGTTGCTCTTGCATAATATTTAATAATTTTAATTCCTTTCTAAAAATAATAAGTTTTTCTATATTATTAAAATTTGAGTTAAATAAAATATCAATACAGTTAACATGTGACTTTAGTGAATTATTATAATTAGACAGAGTGTTTAAGTAGTAATTTTTTTAGTTTACGTAATAATTACTCTAGATTTTTAGTTTTGAAAACTTATAACAGATACTATTCAAGAGATTATGTAATTACAAAAACTGTATTTCACAAAGACTTATAATTAACACAAAAATTCACAAAATCTTGTATATTATTATTAAGATTCATAAAAATTGTTTATAGCTAAGGATTATATTTCATAAAGATTGGTATATCATAAAGACTTATAAAAATATAAAGTAAAAAAAAAGTTATTGATAATAATATGAGAAAGAAAATAAAAAATAAAAATTAAAAAAATAAAGAAAAAAATTAAATAAGAAAAAGTTAATTTTACTTAAAAAAAAGCATACAGCTATTTAAAATATTTTTGATGAATTGTTAATTACATACAGCTTGCCAAATTTTGTATTATGCTATAAGTTTTAAACTATTGTATTTATATATTTTGAAATACATATAATAATAAATTAACTATATTAAATAAATAAACTGTATTAAATATATTACATTTGTTAAATAAATTAAATATGTCAAATATGTTAATTAGGATTCTGCAATTCGATTTGATATTTGAATATTTGATTTGATCAAATTCAAATTAAATAATGATTTATTTGATTAAATCCAAATTAATGTTTGATTCGATTCGGTCAAATTCAAATCAAGTATTCAAATATTTTATTTAATTTGAATCAATAGTAAAGCCATCTTCAAAGCTTCAGGAATAGTTCTTACTAAGAAAACTATAGTAAAAAGCGCCTCTGCAGCTTTAGAAATGCCTTTTTACTAAAAAAAACTATAGTAAAAAACATCTTTGCAGCTTCAGAAATGCTTTTATTACTAAGAAAACCATAGTAAAAAGTGCCTCTGCATCTTTGGAAATGCCTTTTTACTAGGAAAAGCATAGTAAAAATGCTTTTACAGCTTCAGAGATGTTATTTTACTAAGAAAGCATAGTAAAAAACGTCTCTGTAGCTTCAGAAATGCTATTTTACTAAGAAACCTAGTAAAAAATTGCATTCGCGACTTCAGAAACGTTTTTTAACTAATAAAATTATTACAAAGCCAAGATAACGGTTATTATTAAGTTTTCTTAATAAAACTGAAGCTGTGATGGCGGTTATTACTAAGTTTTCTTAGTAATCTGAAGCTGCAATGGCAGTTATTACTAAGTTTTCTTAGTAAAACTGAAACTGCAGAGTTATTTTACTAAATTTAATAGTAAAAATTCACCTGTTACTAAACTTACTTTGTAAAAGCTATCTTTGAAATTTT